TGTGAAAGGGTTGTTCGACCCCCAAAGGGGTCGCGACCCACAGGTTGAGAACCGCTGCTCTATAACATGTTGACCAACATAAGCCTAGTTTCCTTCTTTACCATATTTTTTTATTTATTGTTCACACTATTACAGATGTCCCTCATCCCTCCCCCCACTTTAGCCACCTCCACCCAGCCCCTACACCCCCTCCTTCTGGCCATCACCACACTGTTGTCTGTGTCTATATATTTTATACTTTTAGCAATTCACCCTCCTCCACCCCTTCTCTCTGGTAACCACCATTATGTTGTCAGTGGCTATGAGTTTGTTTTTGCTTTATTAGTTTTTGTTACTTTTTTGCTTTTTACTCCACATATGAGTGAAAACATACATTTTTTTGTCCTTTTCCACCTGTTTTATTTCACTTAGCATAATACTCTCAGGATCCATCCATATAGTCACAAATGGCTTAATTTCCTAGATCAGTGTTTTTCAATCAGTATTGTGATGATGTTAAGAATCACCTGGGATGTTTAGTACTCATAGAGCTGTTTCAGGTTTCCCCACTTGCCTACCAAGATATTTTGATTCATTGAATGTTCTTATAAGACGGTGGTTCTCAACCTTGGCTGCACATTAGAATCACCTGGGAATCTTTTTAAAATCCTGATTTCTGGGCCTCATCCTCCGGAAATTCTGTTTCTTTGTTATGGGGTGGGGCCACAACATTAGTAACACAGAAACAGAATTTCCGGAGGATGAGGCCCAGAAATCAGGATTTTAAAAAGATTCCCAGGTGATTCTAATGTGCAGCCAAGGTTGAGAACCACTGATCTAAGGTGAGGCTAGCAATTTATGTTTTAGGAAGTACTCCAGGTAAATTTATTATCAGGTAAGTTAAGGAAATAATGATTCTGTCCTCACACAATTGCCACCTACAACTTAGTGATTCTCAATGTGGGGGTCCCAGGACCAGCAGCATCAGTCTCCTGTGAGAACTTTTTAGAAATGTATATCCTCGGACCCCACCCTAGACCTGCTGAATCACAGTATCTGTTGGTGGGCCCCAGCAATCTGTACTTTAACAAGTTGTCCAGGTGATTCTAATACGTGCTAAAGTTTGAGAACTATTATATTTTTAATAACTTTTTAAAATTGATTTTAGAGAGGAAGGGAGAGGGAGAGAGAGATGGAAACATCAATGATGAGAGAGAATCATTGATCAGTGGCCTCCTGCACGCCCCCTACTGGGGATCAAGCCCACAACCTGGCCATGTGCCCTGACCAGGAATCAAACCCGGGACCCTTCAGTCCACAGGCCAACGCTCTATCCACTGAGCCAACCCAGCTAGGGCAAGAACTATTATATTAAACAAAGTCCAATTCTAGCCAACAACAAACAGTTTAACCCCAGAACTTCCAGGCACAAGATGATATAAGGTGAAGTAGCCTGGTAAAGCTCTCCATCTCCCAGAAAGTATATTCACCAAAGGTATGTCTCCAAGGGAGACCCTTTTAGAGAACCAAAAGAGGCTGGCTGACCAGAGGACTTACTTTACTGCCAGAGCAGGGAGTCCTTGTCTAACAGGTTATGATATTCTTTGAACCAGAAATTATATTTTTTCTACTTCCTCCCTTTTTAAAATGGTAGTTTCCCCCTGGTCATTTCTCCCCAATTGCATATTGGGTATGTTGGGGTGAAGGGTAGTTTATAATTTAACTGCAGGTGACGAGACTGCTAGGATGATGGATCTGAAGATGGCTGCATATCAACTAGAGATCTAAATGCTCAAACGCAGTAACGGGGTAAGACTAGGTTTTTCCCCTTTGAAAACATAAATTCACTACATGTACGTGTGGGCATTTTTCAAAGTAGATACGTGGGAAGAAAGGTGTCCCTGGATGCTTGCTACCCAAAATAAGAAGCAATACTAGACATTTGTGATTGGTTCACGGCATTCACTCCTCGTGCCCTTGATTTTACTAGGAATCCATTTGGTTCTAGGGAGATACATCTTAGGATTCGGGAATGGAACACACGCCCTGGCTAAGCCATTCAGTGCATTGCATTTAATCCACGAGACGTCAGTGGCTGATCCAGATATGTGACCTAAGCCATTTAAGAATGCATCACAGCGCACAGGTTATTTATTTTTGTCTAGACTGGAACTGCGGTAGCTTGGAACTGCTGGTCCAATTTTGCTACCATTGAGGAAAGGAAAACTGAGAATGAAATTGACATATAGAGTAGGGAAAACCCTAAATAATCACACTGAGCCTGAGCCTCCATCAAACTATGCCTGAAGCCCATCTAACCTCTGGATTATTTTAGTTACATGAATTAATGATGTTTGGTAACTGTGTAAACCTGTTTAAAATAGGTTTCCTGTTACATGCAGTAAAGCATTATATTAGAAAAGGCAAATAAAAACTATCCTAAATTTGCATATGACAGTATATGTGAGTGCAAGTTGGAATAAAAAATATTGTTCATTTTTGGGTTACTTATTATATATATTACCTTAACTTTTTCCCACAGCTTCAATTTATAGTTCAGTTTCCCTTTAACTTACCTCAATAAAAATATACAGGCCTCTCTCAAAGAGTTCCTTCCACAGAATCCATCACGTTCACATACATTTCACTTTCTACTAGTTAGAAAAATTTGCCAGGCAGAAATGGTGGGTTTTCAGGGATGTGTAAGTTTTCATTAAACCAGATTCGGGTTTGGAGGTTTGAATGAACCATACCTCCTTCCTCTCTAGATTCTAAATCAACTAAAAATTACACACAGATCACCAGCCTGGTGTGGCTCAGTGGTTGAGGGTTGACCTATGAACCAGGAGGTCACAGTTCCATTCCCGGTCAGCGCACATGCCCGGGTTTCGGGCTCAATCTCCAGTGGGGGGCATGAAGGAGGCAGCTGATCAATGATTCTCTCTCATCATTGATGTTTCTCTCTCTCCCTCTCCCTTCCTCTCTGAAATAAATAATAAAAAATACTCACAGGCATCAAAGTGGGATTAAATATCAGCTTTAATATATTGTTAAGTGAAAAAGCAAAATTCAGAACAGCATGTATAATATGCCACCATTAGTATAAAAAACTGATATACACACATACATACATAATATGCTTGTACATACATGGATTATCTCTGAAAGCATACATAGTAACTGGTAACAGTGGTTACCTTTGGAAAGTGGGACTGAGGGACTGAGGTAAGGGTGAGAAGGGGGAAAGAAAATTAGTTTTTACTTTATAACCTTTAGTACCGTTTCAGTTTTACCAGAAACAGGTGTTTTTCTCCAAAAACAATTTATATATTAACATTTTTAAAAGAAAAAAATTGATACCAGCTTTATTACTGATAGATCTGGACTGGAGCACATGCTTTGGACCTGAGCCTGAAATGTAGTTCTACCCCAAGTCGAAAGTAGACATTTACTCAGCCATGTAGTGAAGGGGCTACCTTCTTTCCCATTCCTTGCTGTGAGAAAATGAGCTGAAGAGCCAAGAGGGGACTAGGCTGCTTATCCATAATAACCCTTTTTTCAATTTTACCAAGTTATTCCTCCTCCCAGATGTAAGACTGAATGAGGGGCAAGTGGAGGTGGGTAGAAGTTTTCTCTCAAATACTTGTGAGAGTCCTTTATTTTTTTTTTCTTGAGTCAGGAACATGGAGAGAGATATAAGATAGATCACATCATATCCATGGACTTTTTGTTCTCTAAGCCATAGTGGTCCACACCCAAGACTATGGCTGTCCCCTATGGGGAAGACCAACATTATCTTTAGGAATATCCTGCTTCCATCTGTGGAAGACTGGTGAGCAGTTCTGTTTTTGACCCTAGAAGGCTCTGAAATAAGTCAGAATAGAGCAGTAATTAAAATTAATTCCAAGGTTACATTATACCCCAGGCTGAAAATTCACTCACTATTTTATCCCTAATTTATAATTATGTCCAACCACATTATATGATTTAGTTTACAAAGATTACACAATGAACCCCAAAGATAGCATATTAAAATACTCCAAAAATTAGAATATCAACTACATAATGAAAATGCCTTAATTTGAACTATATAAAACCCACTCTAATGATTAAACTCCAAGGGAGAGAGGAATGCTCCTAATTAAATTTCTATTTTAAAGTCCAAAGGAATTAAAGTCCAAAATTTTGCCTTTCACGATTTCTTGTTTTTCTCATTTCAGCCATACGGATCCCACAGAGACGTCTGGACAGATGTACGGTTCCTTCAGCAGCCACAGCCTGGGCTGTCTTCATCTTGATTAGGTGTAGTTCCTTCAGGACTTTAGAAGCTGTATTAATCTAACCCCACAACTGCATGTTATATATTTTTAAGAGTCCACAGTATCAATAGGTCAAAAGATGACCACAGGCCTCACCGGCATTGCTCAGTGGTTGAGCGTCGATCTATGAACCAGAAGGTCATGGGTTCTATTCCCATTCAGGGCACATGCCCAGGTTGGGGGCTCGATCCCCAGTGTATGGCATGCAGGAGGCAGCCAATCAATGATTCTCTCTCATCATTGATATTTCTATCTCTCCCTCTCTTTACCTCTCTGAAATCAATGAAAATATATTTCAAAAAAGATGACCACAGTATCATCTTCACACCCCAAAATTAGAAAGCACACTAATTCCCAGCCACTGGAAGCAAACTTATGTTACCAGGACTTAATACATAGGACAGAGAAAGCATGGGAGAAAAGAGACTGTTTTCTTGGTTTCATCCTCAGCAGGATGCTAGTCTGTCTGTGCCAGCAGTCCAGAATCCATGACCTGTGAACTTAAACTAACTTGGGAGATATTTCCCAAGTGTTTGATTGTATTGCCACACGTCCCAGCCCCATATTTGCAGAAGTCCAAGGCCTGTCTGTTACTGTTAATGGAGCTTGTACAGAGACCCAGTGTGAAAATGTTGGCTTTTGCCAGGTGCTTCTCTCCAAAACCTTACTTATTTTTAACCTTTTCCCCTAGGCTTTGGTCAGCCTTTACCAGTGCCTTCAATAATGGAAGGTACAGTACCCATTCCATTACTTACTTTTCTGCCGCAGTAGGGCTCACCCTTTTCTGCAGATGAGTATCTTAGGACCAGCCAACAAAGAGGAGAAAGTTGAAAAACAAAACACTAATAAGTACCCATTGGATTTCTATCTACCAATGCCAGCATTACGCTCTTAAAACATCATTAAGCCTATTGATCATCTGACACTGATTCTAATCTATGTGTTCCATAGTTCTCCTGGGACAACATAAAAGATGAGCCCACCAGATCATATGAGGAAGTCTTTCTTAGTTCTAGCAAGTGTCTTGCCCACCTCATATGCTGGGACTCAAATGTTCCCTAAGAATCAAATCGAAAACTTAATCTAAAAGTTCTCAGAGTATCTCTCGGTATAGGAAAGAAATCTGTATCTCAGCCTGACTCCAGGTTTTGCTCTTTTAATTTTGAGGTCCTGGACCAACCTGACAACACTTGATAAACTCAGGCTTTACCGTGTGACTGAGAACGCTAGCTAAATCCTGGCTTAATGTCCCATTGGGTTGGCAAAGCCTACTTGTGCTAAAGTCTGCCTGCAGGGCCTGTGTTTGTTAAAACCCACTCCATGTCTACAGGTCCTACCCAGAGTTATTGCAGACAACAGAGGCTCTAATACCATTGATGAAAAACCTTGATTTCTCCACTTGGGAGTTCGGTTCCCAAATGCTTGGCCTCTTATTAATTTCATAAGGTTTCTCGGCCTATACTTATATACTAAAGTGAAAAGTAATTACCCTCTTGATTTTGCAACAAGTTGAGCAATAGATGTAAGAACCAGAAAGGGAGCAATACGTTAGTCTTACTCTCAGTACAGATAGAATTGAAAATGCAACTTGGACAGGAGACCAAAATGGCTTCCCACTCTTCCTCACATTACACTTGGAAGCTACCTAGAGGGAAGAGTTAAAGTTGCAAAGAAACTTACCCAGCCAGTCATACCTAATATCTCCAGAAGCTTCATAGTTCAATGAGTAGAGAGAGTCCGAGCGCCCAAAAGAATGAGGCAACAGGTGTTCACCTACATTTAAACTATTAACACCAGCAAAGACAGAAGTATGGGCCAATGGATGTCAGACTTTACCCTTCTCACTAATTAGAGAAATCATTCTCCTGTGGGGAGGAACCTGTAAAAAAGGGTGGAGAGAAGGGCAAAAGGTTTCTTCCAAAAATGTCTGCGTTTCAGTTCCTTTTTCTTTGGCCAGGCAAAAAGCATGCAGAAAGCGAGAAGATGGTTCTTACAAATTGGAAAGCAATCAAGACTGTGTGTGTGCACAGATTTAACAAATAGTCTCACATATTTGGCAAATTTCAAAATGACTTCTAAGTTGTTTTTACCAAATCGTAGACATAGATATGGAAATCGTCGTCAAATTTGATGAAGTACACAGAGGGTTTGGCTTCTACCTGATGAATGACCATGCCAGTTCTCTTGGAGCCATCATCTTTGGCATATTCCACCTGTTTACCTACTAGGCTGTCTATGACTTCTCCTGGCTCCCTCTCTGCAGGAGAAGAATCATTGGCATCGGGAAGGATGCGGAGGTCACCGTCTTTATAATCATCTAAGAGCTGGTACATATATAAAACAGGATCCTTCTCATAGGTAATGTAAAACCATGTTTTCATGACAGGTGCCTGAGCCAAGACCATCCCCCTCCATTCATTTTTGGAACCTTCCTCTGTCTCAAAAATATGTTCCACTGCTTTGCCGATCAGAATTTCTGTTAAGTGTGAATCACTGATTGTAGATGATGCAATTCTATTAGGAAAGACTTCAAGGGATGACACCCTTTCATCGTTATGCAGTTCCAATCCATAAACACAGTCAAAGCCATCATATTTGATAAGATACAGAGAGGGATTTACAGGTACCTGATCCAGAACGGTTCCCTTCCACTGTACTAGAGGCTCGTCTCCGTCTTTCCATCCGTGCCGAATTCTGCAGCCCACGATGTTCCTCCGAGGCTGCGAGGGGGGTCTGCTCCTGTGTCTCTTGTGTGCAGCCTTTCTCTTCATCACGGAAACGGGCACACCGGCATGCCTTGAGCCTGTTCTGGACCGCTGCTCTGCAGCCGCCTTGGCGAACGGCGGCTTCATGCCTGAGAGGAGCACCGCGGCAAGGCAGGCCAAGAAATGGAATGGAGACAAAATCAATTCCGAGGATGACACGGTGAGCTTTGTCTCCTAATTAGTGCACTCCGTGCACCCACGCCTAAGTTTCTCCTGGAAGCTGGAAATCAAGGTATCCTGGCGTGTGCCTGCAGTAACCTTCCTCCCCGGTTCGTTCCAGCTACGCAAGAGAGAGAGAGAGAGAGAGAGAGAGAGAGAGAGAGAGAGAGTTGTCGTTAGGGTCAAAGAAATAGGGGGCATCCTCTATTCCTCCCACCCGGCTTCCAACACTGTGCCAAGTGGCACAGACTCCCCAAAGCCTCACGTGCCCAAATCCAGCACTTTGCTACCTTCGCTGTGTGCCTGAAGGGGAGAGATGATCAGCAGGCGCCAAGAAGGGAGCTCGCCAAAGCTGGTGGAGGAGGATCCGTAGACGAAGTGCGTGGCAGGCAGGCGAAGAGGATGGCGGCTGCGTCTCCGGCGCGGAGCTCAGGGGCCCGCTGCGTCCCAGTCGGCAGCAGAGGCCCCTGTGCCACTTCGGGATCCCACCAGCCGCTGCCGCTGCAGCAGTCTCCTCCCTCTCCGTATCTCAGCTTCCTGCCAGGAGAGTGGCCTCCCCTTCCTGCCAAACAACGTGTGCCCTCCTCCCCCAACTCTCACGCCCACCTCTGCCGGGAGCTTGGGAAGCGCTTCTTGGTTCCTGGACCTGCCCCTTTCCAAATCAGGAGCAGCCCAGCTCGCATCCCCCCTAGCGTGTCTTTCTCCAGTTCAGAGCCCCCGGGCTCCCCGCTCCCACATTACCTTAGCCCCACCTCGGTGCCCCTGCCCCATCTGCTTTCCATCTTCTAGGAATTCGCCCTTTCCTTTACCCCGTGCTTTTCTGGAGTTATTCTTTATATACAGAAACCTGCCCCTCCTGTCATTTAAAGGGATTTGTGGTAGAATGAGAGAAATGCCCTGGTGCTCAGTCTGCCATCTTGACCCAATCTCTAGGTAATTTTAACTCTCTGGTCATTCCCAGACTTTACTTCTTGAGGATAATTTTTTTTTCTTTTCTCTTTCTCTCCTTTTTTTTCACGATTGCAAAAGAATTGTCTGCACAGTGTGGGCATGGTGCAAAACTCAGAAAATTGACATGAAGAAAATCAAGTGTAAGCTCACCTCCCATTCCCCACACCTCAGAGCAAACTATGAACATTTTACATTGCCTTTTTGATAAGCACTTACAAAACTGGAATAATTTTGCATATGCATTTTCATGGTATAGTCTTTTCCACATGGAATAGATATTTGCTCGGTTTATTAGATATTGTCTTATACATTTTTGTAGTACCTTCATTCAAATCAGCATAAGGATATCTTCATAATTTAACCATTCTCTCCAATCAGATGTTTAGTTTTGTAAACAAAAGCTTTTAAATGATGCTTGCACATGAATTATTAATCTGCCACTGGTTATGCTAATATGCATGCACACAAGTCCTTTGGTTGATCTCTACTCCCCCTCCACTGCCTTCTCTCTGAGGTTGGACAGCCTGTTCAGTATTACCTTGTCTCTGGATCTATTTTTGTTCATCAGTTTATGTTGATCATTATATCCCACATATGAGTGAGATCATGTGATATTTATCTTTCCAACTGGCTTTTA